CATTGAAGACCACTCGTGCTGCTGCGTTCTGGAGCAGCTGAAGAGGCTTGATAGAGTTAGCTGGAAGCCCGGCTAGTAGAGAGTTGCAGTAATCCAGTTTGGAGAGAACAAGAGCTTGAACAAGGAGTTGAGCTGCATGTTCAGATAAGAAGAGTCGGATCTTTCTGATGTTAAAGAGTGCACGATGAAACACGATGAACGCCGCTTCTTTTACCAAGTTTCAATTTACTAGTTCAGAATACTGTATACTGTATAGTATGGAAGTATGGGGTTTTGGATGCAGCGACAGAGAGCTATGGTGTAGGCTACACTCATAGCATTTTAAAGATGTAGAATCACATCTTTACACTTTATTTTGTGTAAATGGCAGATGATTTTCTTAGCAGCATTAAAAACCCAAACATATTCAAATTGTAAAGCAAGCAGTGCTCAAATTATAATAAATGAATTTCTTATTAATAAAAAGCTATGAAGACATTTCTCTGATGCACGAAAAAAAAAACGGTCTGTGGACTGCTTTCTGATATTAGAGAGTATATTACAAAAATATGAGCTGACTGATTTTAAATCATTTTTAGCTATAACCTTTTTTTCGGCATTTTGTTCTGTCCTTCACTGCTTAACTTTTTTTATGAAGGGCCAAAAGCCCAACTTGATTGAGAGCCCTGAGCCAGAGATAAATATATCAAACTGTATTACAAAGTTGATATGGGTAATTTCCTTTTTGATTTCAAAATAAATAGAAAACATTACTTTAATCATATCAACTAAGGCATTATATATTGTTTTCCATTTTATAATGAATCTATTATAATGAAATCATAAAAATTCAATTTAGAACACAATGGCGTTTAATGTCAAGCTGCACCTGCCTTTTGCTTGATTTGCTCACCGATGACTTCTGAATTGTGCTTATCCATTGAGCAACAATATGTTCATTAAAAAACATTTAATTGAAAAATGCATTTTTGTAGCTTAACAATAGATCAAACAAATGAAAGGTTACGTTAAAATGACAATGTGTATTAAAGGCATTAAACCCAACATTTTGCCTCTCTTCTCAAAGGGCATGGAGGGCCAAATCAAAGGTTATCATGCCAACTGTGGCCCATGGCCCTACTTTGGGCATTTCAACTTTAAACTGTTCTTATTAGCTAACCAAGCAAAGGCTGCTATGTTTTAGGTTAGTAAGTTGTTTGTCTTTCCCAGAGATTGGTTGCGGCTGGAAGGGCATGTGCTGCGTAAAACATGTGCTGGATAAGTTGGCGGTTCATTCCACTGTGGTGACCCCAGATTAATAAAGGGACTAAACCAAAAAGAAAATGAATAAATGTTGCTTGTCAATAAATGCAGTTGTCATATGATATTTGTAATATACATTTTTAAAAACAGGATAATTAAAAGACTTTAATTACACCCTGGTGATTGGTCTCAGCTGATGAGGACAAAAGTGATCAATAATCGGCTCCAAAAACTTTGATTGGAGCACCTCTATTAGAAAAGATTCATTGCATTTATGTATAAATGCCATGAAGATGATAGTGTTCTTTATAGTGAATTCTTTTCAAATAGACCTATTCATTTCATTTGGTGAAATTACACTCAACATTGCAGTATTTATTGTATGAATATAAAATATCACAATGTGATTTTTCCCAATATCATGCAGCCCTAACTCAACCTTTAAGAACAACTTGTGCAAGCTAAATTAATTTGAAAGAGAATAGTATTTTCAGCCATCGCAAAGGGTTAATGTAACTAGGGCTGCACGGTTCTGGCAAAAATGTGAATTCCAATGTTTTTGCTTGAAATCAAGATCATGATTCTGTACATGTAAATTAAAGGTTAATATCATTAGCCTATTATTATTATAGTTAATTCTCAAACATATGGTAAAACAACAATAATAATAATAGGCCTACGTGTAGGTCTACTGTTGCTTAAAATGCTAAATTACATATAGTCATTGTGGTGGACTTGAATGGATTTTCAATATGTCCTGTTTGTTAATTCACAGTTAAATGATGACATCAGAATATAACTAATCATAATTATAAAGTTGATTTATTATCTTTGAGACTTGTGCTTGTCATCTGTTATTGACAACTTTATTAGACCATTTGTTTTCACTGGTAAAATTAGAATTTTGTCATTATCAGATTCCTTCTTCATTATATACGACATCATGTATAGGCTAGGGTTGTTATACTGACACATTTATTTAATAAACATTTATTTTCATGCACAACGCTTTGTGCTCACTATAAAAGTAAAAGCATATCATATGTTTGTCATAATCATAACTGTAAAATGCGTTATGATCATTGAAATAATGTGCGGTCAGTTTCACTTTCACTTCTGAGTGCGGCTCTTGGCTGCCATCACTGTGAGAAAAAAACACATACATGCAAATCATACCTTTCGCACGGCCCTCAAACCCTCTGTGCAAAAAACTGAGCGTTATTTACAACTTTATTATCCATTATCCACAGTCTATGCTAGTTGTGTTCACTAAAGTAGGCGTCATAGACAGGCACACGTGCGTTCTTGGCAATGTTACCAGACTGTAAAAAAATGACGTAGTGTAAAATTGGGTGGTTTTGAATCGGCGTGCCCGGCTGCCCTGGTCTTCACTTATAAACCTGTATGAACCCCCAAAGAGGTGCCATAGCCCCCGTTCTCATATAAACGCTTACAACAGTTGTGATCTCCCAATGAGACTACAAATTGTTGGGCAGTGCTTTTCAGTTTTCAGCAGGTTTTAGGCTGGAAACAGTCAGCTACATCTGGCAACACTGGTTCTCGGAAGTAGACAAACAGCTGGCAATCAACTCGTGTGATTTTGCGGCCGCAAATATATCATTACATGAAGATAGAAATGACATTTTTGGGTGAATTATACCTTATAAATACAGTATGTATCACTTTTAACGCCATTTGAAAGTGTCCATGTTGCCGTGAAGACTTGTGCAGCTGCCTTGCTCATTTCCTGACCTTGAAAATATAATTGGCAGAATCGTAGAAAAAGTTGAATTAAGATCATGTGTAGGGTTGAATCGAGATTACGATTTTTTCGATTAATCGTGCAGCCCTAAATGCAACCATTTTCAATTTCGTAAAGGTAATTTTAAAGAATCAAAAATCTAATATGATTAAAATATAATCCATTAAATCGACTTTAATTTAAAGCATTCATTTATTTGTTCAAGCACAAAACAAGATCAAAGACCATTTAAACTCAAGCGACATCAGGAGCAGCAGGCGAGTGCAGAAGCGCCATTTGATTAAACTATGGTCCATATTTTAAATAAATGGTATGGAACAATGTAAATTAATTCACTGCTTTTGCTGTGATACCCACTTTATATTATATCTCAATCAGGCAGTGAAGTTTGAACAAATCAGATCTTAAACATTGCGATTTTATGATAGCAAGACACTTCACCAGAAGCGACTGAACTAGATTATTGAAAATTAAAGGTCCGTGTGAATATATGCCATTTCTTCGACTATACATACACAGAAAAATATTTTCTATAGACCATTTTAATGTGGTCATGTCATTGGCCCATGAATATTTAATGCTTGTTATCAAACTACTTCATAACTGTAACATTCAATCATGAGTTAATTTTAAAACAGCTATTCTAACACTTATCAATATGTGGCTCTGTTTGGATTCTCAGAGCCTATAGAAATTTAAGAATGTAAAACAGGAAATATGTTGGGACCATTGTTTTTGTTTACAACCGTCAAAATGGTCTATATATTCTATGTATAAAATAAGCAAACATAATATTTAAATTTTGCTATTTGACGAATATGAATAGTAATTGTTTTTTCAAGTTTGAATTGTGGGGGGTGTTGGCAATGGCAAAAAAAAAAACTTTGATTAAAAATTTTCTGATCAAAATGGCTGGAAACACAGTGCTGTGCATACTTCCATGTGGAAGTAAAACCTTATTCTGTTTTACGACATGTTAAACTTCCCATTATCAATCCCAAATCCTCCTTTCAATTACTCTGCAGTTCAAAAAGAACAAAAACATAATACAAACTACCGTACCGGAGACAACCATCTCCTCATAGCTAGGAAATACTGTGAAGATTCAAACAGAGGCTGAAAAATCCTTCATCAGACATGACATCTTATGTTGGAAAGCTGTAGGAGTTTATTATTAGTAATACATACAAATTAGTCCTTCACTATGGCAGATGACATCATCTTTTTAATAAGCCTTTAAGCCAAATGCCATGTATAGCTTTTTCAAAACTGGAAAAACGATTTGAATTTGAGAGCAAAAGCAGCAGCATTCCTCCTGTGTGTAAAGATTTGTCTCTGGCGGCAGAAGTACACAGTGAAACAGAAGATGTTGTGAACAAAACAGCAGTGGTGTGAGCCATGGTGACTTTAATAATCGCTTTTATATCAGATGTCACTGATTTATGACAGTCAACACCACATATGTCATGCTCCCAAAGGGGGAACATTAAAAATTTTATTGTACATTCAAAGGCTGGAATCTGATCCAGCTGGCTGGTCAATAGACAACAAGAGCTGCTGACCAATTACGTCTTAAAATAGTCAGACAAAATCTGTTTGGGTTTTTTATTTTTTTTATTTCCAGTAATAAAATCAACATCTGGTCCAATAATAACCCCGTAAATCACAACACAAAGACAATGAGTAACTGATAAACAAGGGGGAACAGACACCTATGGCATTTAGCTATTGTTGTTCTCACTTTAATTAACACATCAGCTGACAGCATTACAGAATGTAAAAACACATCCCAGAAATAACACCAAAAGCACGTTTACACCAATTGTGACCGTTGATGTTGTGTATGAGTAGCCCACTGGGCCTGGGTGTACTGGGACAAACACACACTCTGTACTAAAACTGCTAGCAGCGGGCTATTAGCCTCTCCAGATAGTCAAACAATAGCTCCTACCAATTAAAATCAACCATTAAAACAGGCGTAAACAGCGCCACTTACCTCTATACAAAACGGAAAACTATCCCTCGCTGACTTTACCCCCTTTCCAAGGTACGGTTTTCGACGACAGAAGTAGAAAAGTATTGGGGAAGCGAGTGAACGTCAGCGGAGGCTTGTGTGAAACTGACAGTCACACACACAAACCCGACAGAGAGGCCCAGTGCTTTAGCCTCCCCGCTAACTGACGGAGATTTCGACGATTCCGCTTTAAATCTACGAGAATACTCACGCGACTTTCAGAATCACGCGTTAAACGGCACGGCGGACTAAACGTAGCGCGAGGACATTTTATTTAACGGTTATATATGACACGTATTCCTCGCCGTTTGCCCTCGGGTGCGAGTCCCCATTCCTGCCTATCCGCGGCGTCCATTAGAGCGCTGCTATGTGTGTGTATGTGTATGCGAACAGCACTGCTGCTACGCGAGCGCGCACACACGCACTCACGTTTCGACATTTTACGACATCCCCGTATCCTTGACGACTCGTCGAGATAACAACAATAACAACAACAACCCCGAAGGCCGTTGCAAATTAGATAGATAAACCCATTAATGATTATATTGTTTAATCGTCGAATTTTGTGAATATGTACTGATATTTTATTATGTGTATGTGTGTTTTTTTTTTTATCAATGTGATGTGTTGTATCAGAGAGTTGGTCGGCTCGCGCTCTCTAGTGGCAGAATGTGGTAACACTCATGTGTATTCATGAATATGAATGTAAACTGAAGGTACACTATCAGCTTGTTTGTTGATTTGTGTTGCTTTGTTATTTATATATAAACAATGTAAATGTTTGCATGAAAACAATTCAAGTTTATTTGTAAAGCAATATTTAATAATACGTACAAAAACAATTAATGATACCTTTCAAAATAATTCCTTCCAAAGCAGCTTTACAAAAAGTGCACTTTGTGACATTACAGTCAAAATAAGAAAATTTTTTAGTGTATAGGGTGGACAGTAGTTTACCTGCAGTTATACAGCATCGTCCTCTCCTGAAAAGTGATATCTATGTGTACAACACATTTTCAATGAAGTGTAGCTTATTTGTAAACAAGGCTATAAAGAACTGACCATAATAACAACAACCGTATGTTTAAATCAATATTTTCATTTTTTTATAGTTTTCAGAAGTTAAAAGTGACAAATCCATTACAAATATAGTAATTTATGTGTTGATTTTATGTAGGCTATCAGCCCACAATCTAAACCGAGGGTTTTCCTACATATGGCCATCCTTGTACAAGGCGCCTTGTTTATACCTTTAAAAAATGACATTATAAAATGTATAAAACATAGTTTGGAATATATATTTTTTGGAATATTTTATATTTAAATTCTTGTAATGTTTAATGTTAAATTACACACATTTAAAGATATGCTGTTGATTTATTGATTATTTGATTTACTTCATGAATTGTTAATCTATTTTAGTCCTTTTTGTATTTATTTTCTTTGATATTATTTATTTTAGATTTTACACTAGTGAAAACTGTTTACCAAAATCTCGTTCTAAAGTGTGCACTTCAGCAGATTAAGGCAGCATGTACTCAGCAAGTACTTTTCTTTTACAGCACACTGTTTCCTTAATTCCTTAATTAATTTCCTTAATTTGTATTTTAACTTTTTTAAAGTCACTTGCCTTAAAAGGCAGTTAAAAGTTTTAATTTGTCCCAAACTTAAATCAACAAACAAACAAATGTATAAATCTATGATTACTTTGAACTCTACCTTGGCTCCAACCCATATTTTTTTGAGGCGAACAGAAAGAATATACTTTGTTTTTTTTTTTGATCACCAGATGGCAATTTTCCCCTAAAATTTAAGTCAATGTCACGGTCAACTTTGTTTTTTTTTATTAAATAATATTTATACTCTGTAACTTTTCAAATTATTTGTGATTCACAGAATAAAGAGGCGTTGTTGCAGGCTTATTTTATTCACAATTCTTTTTTCAATTAAAATATTTCACATGTGGTATAAGAATGAGGTTTGTGTTTAACAATTATTTTACAATCATTTTTAGGTCTTGGGGTATTCATACGCAAGCCTTCCAACTTTCTCTGATGATGAGAACATTGATTTTTTTATATGTCCTGTCTTTAGATAGCAATGGTTTTTGGAACAGTGTCAACATCATATTATACTTTATCCCTATTTTTTTACAGTCTATGATCCCTAGCCTACTTGCAGTTACAACTTCAATCGTTCTCGGATGAATAAATGACGTTACAGACAGAGCTACATGTGAAACCGGAGATGAGGGATGATTGATAAGCGCCGCCTCTCTTTTCATCCAATCGAACTCTAGTATTTCCCGAGCCAGTGACCAATCAGAGAACGCAGAGCGGTATTTGAATCACCAGCAGGCCTTTGTACTGTATACGCACGGCTTGTTATTAGTTGAGTTGGACGAGAAACGCCAAACAAAGCTAAACGGCATTTTAAATTTTTTTATTTAATTTAACCGAGGCATCACCAAAAAGAATATTCATCATGGAAATGCACGCTCTGGTGAGTATTTGGAGAAGAAAAGAGCGTTTGCGCGTAACCTCTTCGATGTGTAGCATCCAAACAGCGTTACTGTTGTTATCCTAGCATGCTAATGTTTGTATTGAAATGGCTTGTATGTAAACTTCTTGTTTTAAGTATATATGTTTTTAACACAGCGCAATGCAAGCAATCCCATTTACGTCGGTGCCAAAGGTGGACCAGTAAGCGGTGCAGTGAGAAGACCAGTGTTTGGCGAACTGTCTAATCTTTCCCACAAACCAGTTCAGACAAAGGTTCGTGTCTTTTATTTGGCACCAAGCAGCTTATGAACGTAAACAACAACGTGCTGCCACACACTCCTTTGTTTCCTTTTTACAGAAGGTTGTACCTATGCAAAGTGTAAAACCCACTGGCCGGTCAGCTGTCGTGCACCCCAAAAGTGCCCAGGTCCAGCACGAGGCCCCAAAGCCTGCCGCTACTGTGCCTCCTGCTCAAGCTGACGTGAGCATGAAGGAAGAGGAACTGTGTCAAGCCTTTTCCAACAGCCTCTTTCCAGTAGACGACATCGACGAAGGAGATGCTGACATGCCTCAGTTGTGCTCTGAATATGTTAAGGACATTTATTTCTATCTGAGGCGCCTTGAGGTACATGAGGCTTTTTATTTATGTGGCACATTTTGTGAAAGTTCTTGCTTTCTACAGCTGTGCTTTGGTTGCAGGGTCAGCAGTCTGTCCGTCCCCGTTATATGGAAGGATATGATATCAATGGGAGAATGCGGGCTCTCCTGGTTGACTGGCTGATTCAGGTGCACTCAAGATTTCAGCTGCTGCAGGAGACCTTGTACATGACTGTTGCCATTCTTGATCGCTTCCTCCAGGTAAGAATCAGGTTTTGCTAAAGCTATATTTGGCTTTGTGGTTATACCTTTTTTCCCCCTCTAGTAAAGTCTAGATGGATACAGTTGATGAGCACTTCAATATAGCATATTTGTAACGCAGTATAACAATAATTAATATTTTTATGGTACTATGACTGTAGGGGTGGTGAAGGTGTTAATAAAATACAATTTGTTGGTTTGTTTTAATAAACAACAAAAATAATACTCTGTACAACTACTGTTTTTACATTACTGTGACTGTAGGGGTAAATGTGAATAAATTAACTGGGAAATTTAAGATATAATAAAAACATATATTCTTCGTCTGAAGGTGTATCTGATCTAAAAACAACCCTCCCCTTCCTCTAACTTGACCACATCCTTACCTCATCTGTTTGTGGATCCATAAATGTATTGACTAGTCATCCCTTAAATCATTCCACTTTGGTGGAGATCAACACACCTACAGCAGTTTTTAGACCCGTTTAAAGGGCCATGAAACCCCCTCGTTTCAGCAGGGTGTTTTCACACCTCTACTTTCGAAAAAGTCAGAAAAGTGGGCGTGTCCAGCTCTGTTTAGGGGGGAGTGTCGGAGGAACTAAAGTGGGATGGTGTGGGAGTGTCTATTTGTGCACGCGCGAGTTTCAGAGTCAAAATACACACCCACACAGACAGGAGAAAGCGATGGTGTTTAACCTACATAGACATCTGTAGTCGAATTATTTGCTGAATTAATAAATGTTGGACTTTAACTGCAGTTTCATTCAGGGAATTCATTCATGCCCCTCGCGACAAACGCGATATTTGATTCGAGGATCTGCTCTAAGCGTGTATTTTTCATGCAATGTTTGATACCGCACGGCGAATGAGAGAAAAAAAAACTCCGCATTTCCCGGAAACTTAGATGCACACGGCAGGTAGCATCAGAAAGCCGCGTGTGTTAATGAGAGAAAAAAAAACTCCGCATTTCCCGGAAACTTAGATGCACACGGCAGGTAGCGTCAGAAAGCCGCGTGTGTTATTCCGGTCACTAAATGTGGTGCTAACATTTCTGCACTCAGTGCTATAGTTAACTTAATTCGATATGAACAAACTGAATAAACAAAGAGCACTGGTCGCTCACTTACCAAATCTGTAGAGACAGGACAATCGCCAGCAACTAGAGCCGCGTCTTTATGGAGAGAATACTACAAGCAAATCCAGATTTCAGCGTTTGCAGATGAGAACAGCTCTCAGGTAAACAATAATCCTCCTTAGACACGTAAGTTATTGTTGTGGAGCGTCGCGTACACTGTTAATCCACACGTGACTCCAGATAAGCTCTCACAGAGAGAAAATGAAAACGAAACTTAAAGGCAGCAAACTATAAAAGCAACACTTCACGCTTGTTTTGCCAACACAACGTGGCGTCTTTGTGGTGTAAACACGGTGACACAAATGAATATTAATGAAGTTGCACAATAGAGCGCGCTGATTGGTTTGAACCAAGTCTTACTCATGCATTAATGTATCACACTGTAAGACGTAATAAGGCTCACTCAGGCACAGACGCCCAGTCTGCACGCTGAAATACACGCTATTATGTCATGACCGTGACGCAGCTTCAAAAATTCGTTTCAAACAGGAAGTACGAATTTGCTAGAAATAACGCAAAAACAACCAATTTACACTTTTTAGTGAAATATAGGTGTCCTAATAGTGTTTTTAGCAGTGTGGGACACATATACGACTGTCAAAAGCTCAAAAAATGTGTTTTGGTGTTTCGTGACCCTTTAAGTCCTAGTTGGCCTTAACCAAGTGACTGTGCATGATGATTCTTGGATAACTGTCAACTATTTTGTTTTCTAGGCTAAAATCCATCTAGAATTTATCTTGTCACTTCTTTTTATTATTATTATTATTCTCACAGTTGTAAACGATTGCTCATTCTACACTATTTTTCATCACTTTTTTTTTCAGTTTATTTTTGTTTAAAATTTTCTCTGTGATCCTGTTATAATAGTTTTAATTTACTTTGCAGCAATTTGTATTTTGA